CTCACTCTGTTGTCCAGGCTGGAATGCAGTGATATGCTCACAGCTACCACAGCCTCGACCTGCTGGGTTCAGGTGATCCTTCAGCCTCAGCTTTCCAAGTAGTTGGAACTACAGGCATGCACCACCAAGCCTGGCTAATTTTTCTGATTTATTGTAGAGAGGAGGTCTCATCAAGTTGCCCAGGTTGGTCTTAGGCGATCCTTTTGCCTTGGCCTCTCAGAGTCCTAGGATTACAGGCTTGAGGCACAGCACCTGGCTCTACATTAGCACTTTAAAATTATTAACTAAACCCCTTCCCTTGCCCCAGTATATCTACATAAATTACAATGAAGCCCAGTTCATTTCTTAAAATATTTACAAAAGTAGCCAGGAGCAGTGGCTCAAGCTTATAATTCTAGCACTTTGGGAGTCCAAGGCGAGAGGATTGCTTGAACCCAGGAGTTCAAGACCAACCAAGCAACACAGCAAGATCTCACCTCTACAAAAAATGAAAAAAAATTAGCAGAGCATGGTGGCATGTGCCTATAGTTCCAGCTACTTGGGGGGCTGAGGTAGAAGTATCACCTGAGCCCTGGTGGTTGAGGCTGTGGTGAGCTGTGATCATACCACTGCATTCCAGCCTGGGCAACAGAGTGAGACTTCGACTCAAAATAGTGTATCATTTCCATTGCGTTTTATCTTACACTTTTTAACATGGTATTTTAGACAATCATTTAAAATTTTGATTATTTTTAACATATGACTAGAATTTGAAATCTGAAAGAAACCAGAAAGATTATTCAGTCTGACTTGCTCAATTTATTGATAAGGGTATAAACAAAGAAAGATTAGGAGTCTTTTCCAAGCTTGCTAAGGACAGAGCTAGGATAAGAATACAAGCCTCTGATTCTTAGTTTGTTCCTTTTTCCAATGTCCAATAAACAAGCTATTGGTTTCTCTGGTGAGATCAACCACTAGGAGACTAAGAATAAACTACCCTGCAGAGATAAAGACTCAAGTAAAGACTCATCAACTCTGCCTCTTCATGCTCCAAAAAGCAAATCCTCATGGGACTCCTCCTGACTTTCCAGTCTAGTGAATTACTAGAACAAAAGCATTCATAAATCACACTACATTATCAATATTGAAGCATTTGCCCAGTGGTTTCTTTATGGGTTCTTCAATGTTACTAGACTGTTTGGTTTCCCATATTTCCTCCCTTTTACTACCAGAAAGTACAGCTGCCAATTTAGTTCTCTGTGTCTCAGGCTCTTTCCTGGAAGGGAAGACCTCAAGCACATATACAGCTTGTGTATGTCCTGATTTTTCTTTTCTTCTAGGGAAGCAGAGGTGGGAATAGTGTGTGAGATGAGGGAGAATCACCTCCTTGCAAACCGATGGCCATTTCTAATTGCTTGGAAATGAAAAAATAAACACCATCATCAAATCTAACAAAAAATAACAAGTCCTTAATATCATCTTGTTAGGTTAAAAAATATATTCCAGCGGGGAGCCTCCAAAATGTTAGGTCCGACCCACTGGGGTGGGGTTGTGTGTGTAATCCGGTGCCATGTGAAAGATGCAAAGAATTGCACAGAAGTTAGATTAGAAAATATAGTTTATTTAGAAAGTAAGTTAGAGAGAGAGAGAGAGAGAAAGGGAATTCATCTCTCCAAGGTAGAAGAGGGTGCTAAGGTTAGGAAACACAGTGACAGCCATAGCTCAAAGAAAACATGAACACACCAGAGTCTAGTAAAGCAATGCCTGCTGGAGATTGAATACCTTTAAACATTCCCTTTGATGGGGGCAGGTTGTTAAGGTAGCTGGGTGGTGGTCTGCTCCACATCATCACAGAGGGTAGGTAAGCACAGGTACGGACATCAGGTGACGAGTGGGTTAGTCACATAATTGCTGCCATGGTGATGGTGATCTGTCTGTGTCGTGAAGGTCACAAAGGCTGATTAGGTTAACTTGAGTCTTATGAGTAGAGACCTATAATCCCAGAACTTTGGGAGGCCGAGGTCAGAGGATTGCCTGAGCTCATGGGTTCAAGATCAGCCCGGACAACTTGGAGAGACTTCATCTCTACAATAAATCAAAAAATTAGCTGGGCATGGTGGCATGTGCCTGTAGTTCCAGCTACTTGGAAGGCTGAGATGGAAGGATCGCCTAAGCCCAGTAGGTCGAGGCTTCGGTGACTGTGAGTGTGCCACTACACTCCAGCCTGGGCGACAGAGTGAGACTCCAACTCAAAAAAAAAAAATACTTGAAATAGAAAAGCTAATTAGTATAAAACAAGCTGGGGAGGGGTTGTAAAACAATTATCAATAGCTACTTCTGAGAAACTGGTTCTATTCTTGACTCCTACTCAAAAAAAAAAAAAGTTTAATTTTCTCCAGTTGTCTCAAAAATAAATTTTTTTAATAGTTTGAATCAGGATTCAAACAAGGTTAATATATTTGCTCAAAATGTCTCAAATATCTTTTATCACAAATGATGCTATTAAAAAGATTCAGTAATGATATGGGAATCTTTAATTTCATTATTGGTGAAAAGTTTTCCTAAGTGATTATACCAATTTCACTCCTACAGAGTTTATGAGAACTCCACTTCCTCTCTCACTCTTGGTACTGTCAGATATTTTTTCCTTTCCTTTTTTTTTTTAAAGTAGAGATAGGGTCTCACTTTGTTGCTCATCTTAAACTGGTCTTAAACTCTTGGCCTCAAGCAATCCTCCCAACTCAGCTTCCCAAGATACTAGGAGTATAGGCATGAGCCGCTGAGCCTGGCTGGTATTATCAAACATTTTCATTTTTGCCTGATAGTAAGCCCCGCTCTGTAAATAAGTGAGATGTTAGCCTAGTGCATACATTGCACAATCAAGTGTTTTAGATATAAACATTTCAGTGCTCACTGGAGATAATCATATACTCCCACACCATCTGAAAGTTGGTTCTTTTGGCTCTAGAGTATGTCATGATCTTTTTTCAAATATTAGTGAAAGATTGAAGAAAATAGGTAACTGTGTTATTTTGTATTTCCTAGGAAAGATGACTGGTATTGACATTTCCCGCCTATGAAGATCCTTTTAATACAAATGAAACCCCAAGGCACCAGACATTGAGTCTACAGTGAGGAGTGTCAGAATTCCTGTAACCTCTTTTTTCCTTACTAGTATCTGTCATGGCAGGCAGTGGGCTCTGATGATGCCATAATGTTTTGTTTGTGGGGTCATCTGATGCCGCTTATGCCTTTAGGAAGGATCAGATTTTAAGCATACTGAAGCTTAGATAGTAAAACTTGATCTTCTGAGATCATAGGAGTAAAGATCTCTAGAAGAAGCCAGGTGTGGTGGCTCACACCTATAGTCCCAGCTGCTTGGGAGGCTGAGAGGCTGAGACAGGTGGACTGTTTGAGCTCAGCGGTGAACTATCGTGCCACTGCACTCCAGCCTGGGTGACAGAGCAAGATCCTTTCTCCTAAAACACACACACACACACACACACACACACACACACACACACACACACACACACACACCTCTAGAAGAAAGTATACTGGAATTTTTTTCTATCTTTTCTTTTTCATTGGGATATGTGGGTTTTCCTCCTCACTGTTATAAAGTTGACATCACAACCGGGCAAACACTTGGTATGCTTCTGATTGATTCCTGATTGATTCTGATTGCCCATAGCATGTAAACATTCTTTAAGAACACAGTCATTTTGCACATCAAACAGAAGACCAGCTCATTTCTGGCAATAGGGTGCAAATCTGAGACAGGGAAGGGTATACCACTATAATTTTCTTCTGTAGTGATGAAGAATAGTGTGTTGGATATCATATCATAGAATAACTGGCGTGTTTTAAAGATTTTTTTCCTTTTTGAACACATTTCATGTTAGGGAAGTTTCCAGAGAACATAATCTATCTTAAGAGTGTGAGAGAATGATATCCCACACTGCTTTTTATATTTATATCTTGAAGAAATTTCTAAAAAGAAAGCTAAGTCAATAAAATGACAGATTTTAAGCTTTCATTCTGGTAACGTAAAAGTCTTCTACTCAATGTGTCAGCCACCTTAATTTTTAAAGATAGAACATGAGGTGTAAGCTTTGGCTTCCATTTTCCTCTTATAAACCAATGACATCTTCAGTTCCGGAACAGCTTTTTAAAAACGTGACTTCTGATAAATGTTGGCAGAACTGGTGCATTCCTAGAATAAATTCTGTATGCTCAGCTTTCTCTACCCAAATTTATCCCTAGGTCTGATGTCCATAAAACTGCCCATCTCGAAATAGGCAAAAGAGAAATCTGGACGTGATAGAAGATATACGTGTATATTAAAACATGATATTGGTATATATTTTAAAAATTCATGTCTAATTTAGACTGTCATGATAACAATAACTACTAATGATACATGTTTAGTTTAAAACCAAGAGGCTGGCGTAAGGGAGTGGAAATTACACATAAACAAAAGAAAAACTTCAAAATTTTCTCTCCTTTCAGGCGAGTTTCAGGTCTACCAGTGTAAACACCCTTGCCTTGAAAAAATCAGAGTGTTCTGCTCTCAATCCTCATTCTGTTGTACACAGAAACTTGTATCTCTCCTCCCTAAATTAAAAATCTAAGGAAGCTCCAGGTCCGCAAAGACCAGAAAGCAGTGGCACGAGAAGTTGTACATTATATCTGGCCCTACAGGGTTTGAGTGTGGGCTTGGTGGTGTGGAAAAGACATCCCAAAGGAAAATCTGTACTGCACGGATCCAGATGTCATCAGGATCAAGCTGTATAGAAGAAAGAAATCAGCAACCGTAGTAGATTCAAAACCTGGAACGACGTCTCCTCAGCAATGGGTTGAACGGCCCACGGGGACGCCGGCAAGTCCGACTGTGATCCAGAACCCCTACAGCGCCATTTACCGCGCCCTCGCCCCGCCCCTTCCCCAGCGGCCTTGAGCGTCAGCCAATCCCCTTGCGCTATCCCCTTCCCAGCGGAGGCCCCGCCCCCGCGCCCGGGATGTTGGGCCCCCGCGGCGTGACGCGAGCACGGCGGCTCCGCCCCCTGCGTCTCTGGCCTCGCCGGCCTTGGGGGGATGGTTCCATCATGGCGTCAATGCAGGTGAGAGGAGTTTGCTGCATCTGGGCAGGCGAGGGAGCCGCCGAGAGGGTGCCAGCGTTCGGGCGGGG